ATATTTTAGTGTGCACACTATAAGTTATAAATAAATAATATATTTGTAATATCTCAATGAGTAGAAAAATTAGATTTTATACTCATTGAGATATTACAAATATATTATTTATTTATAACAATCTACTCAATGCTTAATTTATTCAAAGTTATCAAATCAAAACTTGGTAATGATACCTATAAGTTATAAACACAAATAAAAGTTAAGGGACTACTCAATTCAGCAGGTTGGTGCGTGTTCGGTTGCGTTTGGTACGAGAATCCACAATTATAGAAAATTGACAATTCCTGTGAGGTATATGGTTCCAGTAATATAGTCAAACGTATAATATCATGGATAAGTCACTACAGTTTATAAATGTAGATGACAGGTGTTTCAGAGTTCAGGGAACACGAGACGTGTGTATAGTAGTGTATTTACGAGCGGTTAACAACGTGTGTCATGAAATGAGTAGTACAGAATGGAATGTGTGTTCACGGTCATACACTTAAAAAACGTGTACAATCATTTTGTGACACGTGTATAGACTGTGAAAATTGACGAAATAAATGTAAATAATATCAAAAACCATTTACAAAATAGGTTTGTTATGTCTGTCTACACAGAGAAGTTAACCTAAATTCGTCCACTGAAATGATACTGGGTGTGGAACATATTCCCTCAGCAGTACTTCAAGTAGAAGTCTGACATATTCCTAGGGATTATATCGGTGTTTCACTCAAAGTGGTAATTATTTCTCTTGTGATATCCTTGAACGCGCGCTATTCGAACGGGAAGTTTAGTCCTAACGTGATTTACATTTCTCAAACTTTTGCTGTGTTCTTACGCAACAAAAGTATCATTTCCAATCCAAAGAATCTATTCTGTGCTATACGTTCGGTGGATTACTTCTTTTTTGTGTTTCACTCAAATTAATAGTTAACTGTGGTTTTGCCTCGGCTAACTATCGTTTTTTTTATAGTTTTCACGTAAAGGCTAGCTTTAGCTTATCGTTAACTGTTTTTATACATTTTTAATAGTTTTTGTTTACTGTGTGTTTTTTTATCGGTCCTAAATTTACTGCTTATATTTTTAAGACAGTCTAAATCACTAGCCATGAAAAATTCATGCAAGAGACCTGGTTGCCGTTTTGCCGTTACATCTGGCATGCAATGTGACAACTGTAAAGGTTGGTTCCATGATGCATGTACAGACCTAACAGCAGCAGCCTATAGCAGACTCAGCAAGTCTGATCGTAGGTGGGTATGTGTTACCTGCAACACCGATACGGTAGTTATGTTGGGTACTATCATTACTTTACTGACAGGTCTGAGAGATAAGTTGTCTAAGAATTCAGTAAATGACATCATCATGACGGGTAACAAAGCTGGAACGCATAGGGCAAATAAGAAAAAGGATACTGACAGGTCGGTTATCGACGGTGCTGTTAACAGCACGAGTGATGATGTGTTGAAACTCAGCACCATCCTAACATCGACTGTCATCGACTCCCTCAGTAAACTTGGGTCCACCGGGGAACGGTCCTTGAATGAGACAGTGGTTCCTAAAAATCCTGTGGGTGGATGGACTCACGTTAACAGGAGTAATAAAGCCCAAGCGTCCCCTCTGAAACTGAACGTCCCAAGTATCGTGCGTAAATCAATTGATGCTTTGGCCGCACAGTCTACACCCAAGACTGTCCGCCCGGTCATCACTGAGCCCAGGAATCGAAAACGCGCCTCGACATCCAAACAACAAGATACCAAACCTAGACGCCCTGGAAAACCTGGGAAATCAATTGCGGTTCGTGACGACTCTGTCATAATCATGAACCTTATTGACAACCCCGACCTTCCTCTGAGTTTGCAGGACAAAAACGATAGGATGCTCTGGGGAGAACTAATCAAGAGGCTTGAACTCCCTAAAATAGAGCCTCTGACCGTCACACGGCTCACTCGGGGGAAGGACTCTAACCACCTAAACCACCCGAGGCTGTTTCGTGTTACACTTAAGAATGCCTCCGACGTAGAGGACGTCTTGCTAGCCAGTCACTTACTGAGGTCCGATGGGAACGTAAGAATACTGCCCGACATACCGTATTCTGAACGAAATCTCATCCGGAACATCCCTAAGGAATCTCGCGAGGCGTTCTTCCGTGGACGAAACATCATTGTGCAAGGTGTGCCGGAAAACACGGACCCAACTCAAGCAAACTCTGATATTCGGGAATGGAAATTCATCAAGCATTCCTTAAAACTCAAGAACATATTGACCCAACAGGTAATGAGACTGGCCAAGAGAGACGGAGACTCTAGGCCCCGGCTGCTGAAGATAACCTTCCCCTCCTCCCACATGGCGGCTGCAACTCTGGAAGCATTTCGTGCCAATAGACGTCGGTTGCCAACTGGCATCCATATGCATCCGGATAGGCCCCACGACAGCAGGATTAAGCACAAACGAAAGCTGGAGCTGACAATTCCACTCGTGGACTGTCTTGATCATAAAAAAAACGTGTAAAGGACAGGGACTACCAACTCGGTAAACATAGTATAGGTAGGCTACCTGTCCACTCACACACGGCTCATATAGACAAACAAGAAGAGGCTCACGCGTTCCAAATTGAAAGCATAAACTGCCTATACACGAACGCCGCGAGCTTGCCAAACAAAATGGACGAGCTACGTGAACTTAGCAACTCTAATGATGCCCATCTGATAGGAATATCCGAAACTTGGATAACGTCTCAGTTTACGGACCAAGAGTTAGCAATAACTGGGATGTCTTTATTTCGCAACGACAGAAAAACAGGAATGGGGGGTGGGGTAGCACTATACGTACGGTCATGCCTGGATGCGCACCAACTTCACAACCAAGAGTTTCACAATCTTGACGAGTCAGTATGGTGCTCAGTAAGATTATCTACCACCTCGAGGTGTCTAGTTGGGGTCGTTTACAGGAGGCCCACTGCCGACATCGAATATGACAAACGTCTGCTGGAAGGATTAACTCGCTCTACGCGTCTTGGATTCTCTCATATCCTGATTCTAGGGGATTTCAATCTCCCTAGAATCAACTTCGTGGAACATACATACATTGGTGGTGCCAACTCTACTGAAGCTCTGTTCTTCAACCTTATCGGCGACCTGGGATTATTTGAAAATGTGAAGTCGGCAACCCGTTGGAGAAACAGTCAGACGCCGTCACGCTTAGACTGGGTATTCACAAACGAAGAATTCCTAGTTGACGACCTCTCAATCCTGGCTCCCCTGGGCAAAAGTGATCACGCCGTCTTATCATTTAGCTTTGTCAGCAAGACGGAGCTACGATATCCTACTAGCAACAAGCGCTGGAACTTCAAACGGTTGAATGTGTTAGCTTTACAGGACTATCTTCAACAGGTGGATTGGGATGTTCGCCCTGAAATTGAAGTGGATGCTCATTGGGATTTTTTACTGCACACGATCTTATGTGCTACTGAGCATTCAGTTCCCAAAATGGTCCCAAAAAGCTACAAACAACCTCCAATCATCAAGAACCGCACTCGTCGTTTGCTAAGCCTCAAAAGGCAGTGTTGGGCCGGATATAAACGAACTGACAATAACGGCGCATACAGGCAATACAAACATATAAGGAACACATGCACAAAGGCAATAAGAGAAGACAGGCTTCAGTTCCAGACCAAGCTTATCGGTAAATTCGTCTCCAATCCGAAAAGCTTGTTCAGTTATGCAGCTTCTCTTCGACAAGGCAAAACTGGAGTTTCCCAACTGCTTGGTCCTAATGGCCCGACCAACAACGACAGTGATGCCGCTAACCTTTTGGCTGAACATTACTCCCGGACACTCCAACTGACCCACATTAACCATACTGACGAAAGCTTCACCTGCACCTCTACAGGACTTTCCGAAGTGAACCTGAGTGCTGACTTGGTGCTCCGTAAACTGCAGAACCTAAAAAAAGACACTTCTCCTGGTCCGGACATGGTTCATTCCGCCGTACTGAGGGAAGCAGCTTCAATCCTGGCGACACCACTTAGCGTGATGTTTGCACACTCGCTAAGCACCTGCAAACTACCGGAAATATGGAAGCTGGCCCACATCACACCAATTTTCAAAGGAGGTCGATGCAGTGAACCCTCAAGCTACCGACCAGTGGCCCTTCTCTCCATACCTTCAAAAATTATGGAATCCCTAGTATTCGACGGCATACTTGATCACTTATCATCCTTAAAGTTCTTCTCGCCTCAACAGCATGGTTTCAGAAAAGGTCATTCTTGTACGACCAACCTGCTGACTGCGGTGGATAAATGGACAACCATCCTTGATCGCAAGGGGAAGGTTGACGTCATTTACCTGGATTTCTCAAAAGCTTTTGATAGGGTCAACCATATACTTCTGGTCATCCCCTTAAACAACTTCTTAAGCTTAGTCATAACACTAATCTCAGAGGTAACACCCAGAAATTGGAGACCCTACATAGCAGAACAGACTGCAGACACAACTTCTACTCCGTTAGAGTTGTCAAGTGCTGGAATTCGCTGCCGACTGAGCTAGTCCAAGCGACCTCCCAGGAGTCCTTTAAGAGAAAACTTGACTTATTCTTAAGGACTAAGGATAACATATTATTATGATTTACCAAATTCTTTTTTTCCCTCTATTATCGTTCATATACCTAGGTTTTTGGCTGGAGGTATTGGTGATCCACTGCTACCAGACACGGAAGCCCGTTAAGCGAAAGCTTCTTCTATTCCGTCCTCAACCATTTGAACCATTTGTGCTTTTTAAGTATGCTTAGGCTCCCACCTCAAGAAATCGGCGATCCACTCCTACTAGATACAGAGACCAGTTAAGCGAAATACTCTCCTATTCTGTTCACGACTGTTGGAAAAATTTGAGGGAATTCATTTACGTTTCACTGAGAAGTGTCTTTGCCATATTTTGTTTCCTCCTGCTAATGCGGAGAGCGCGGAATCAAGGTCATGTTGTTAATCCGCGACATTTAAAGTTGGACTTGTTTAGTTAAATACCTACAGGGAAGACAAGTGGTGAGATTTATGTATAGAGACAAACTAATTGTATTAATAATAAACATCATCCATCTATATTCTGTGTCTCCTGATTTTCAAATTGGGTATGGTCTCAAGGTAGTCTTGCCGTATGATGCAGCTTTACCCCGTATTTTATTATCCTGACTCCTAACAGTGACTCAATGTTAATACTCAACGTTTATCCGTGATCATGTTTTTAGCCGGGTGGATGGCTGTGATTTCGCGGTTATTTTTTTGTGGTCGCTTGACGTTGTCTGAAAAGTATGGAGCTTCATACTTTTCAGCTTTAGTTTGGAAAGGAAAGTAGGCTTGCTGGTGTGTGTTAGTTCTAGCAATGATAATCAATTGGTTGATCCGACTTTTCAATGAATCGACAGGTGGGGCTTCAATCACATGTTATATATTACATTGAAGGACAACATTAAGGTAGTCTGCACACGGTCTACAAGCCATTTAATTACTGCAATTACAAATACAGAAACTTCTTAGTAGTCCCATTTACTTTAGCTGCTTAATCGTCACGTTTCCTATAAAATCCATTGTGAACCGATTGTACATAAGCATCAGAACCTTCTTCAAAAGCTCACTGTCTTTTTAAACAGTAGATAACCGATTATATGCAGTATTGAGATTTAGGACCCACGAATACAGTATACAAAGTCAAATAAAGTTTTAGCGTCGATATGACTAAAGGCTCTACGTATTGACTATAAGGTTCTGGAACCTTTGGCGGTTATTTCACGATAGTGTGCAATAGTTTGAGTCTTGGCCAACGATGACTCCTAAGTTATTTTGTGTATGGGCAACAGGTAGCTCAATGTTGTTCATCGTGCCTGTATCTGTACCTTGATGATCAATATGCATCACAATACACTTGAAAGTATTTATCGGCAGTTGCCAGGTTTGAGACCGTTCAGATAATGTCTCCAGGGCATTTTGATGTTCTGAGCTATCACCCCTACTTCTTATCGCTCTCCATCTCTTGACATTGTCAACATATATCAAGACTGATTGTGATAGGAGACGAGAAAGGGATAACACGCCCTCAAGCCGCACCTTGATGAACCTCGCTAAGCACAGTTTCCCAGCTCGACGACTTGAAGTTCATCCGTATTCCTTGTTAGCGCTCAACTAGGAAGTTTTTTATCCACATTAATAGATTGACTCCAACCCCGACATTTCCTAACTTATATGACAGCCGGTTGTGAGGAACCTTGTCGAACGCTTTACTTGAGGTCTACAAGTTAACTACCTTGAAAAGTGTAAGCCATCATACACTGGTGACCAACAATTGTACTCATACATTTCTAACAATTGTAAAGAGAGTGGTAGTTGTAGACATTAATGCCTTTTTCTTCACTTGATTTCTTCTCAGAAACATTTGGAGTTCACCACAAGAATGTCTAGATATTTTCATTTTCAAGTGTTCAGACATCGTATTTCGATTATTTGTATGAATCATGATTTACGTGAACTAGATTAATACCAAATACACACGTATTATCAAATAAAATATACCAACTGTCTGTGAGAGAGAAAATCACTTAGTGACTGGACTTGCATATGCCACAGTTGTTTAGGCATCTAGGCCTTTTTTTGTCCAAAATCTTAGTATGAACAGATGAAGTTCTTTCAGTTTTCACCTATATAAACACATTTAATGTAAGCTAGATGTCTGTTTATCTGTAAAAGTATGTCGCTAGACAGTTTGCTATGTATTAGTTTATGGCTGCCAACTATTTCATTTAGGGATAGTGTGTGCTCAGATTGCAATTATAAGGGCTTGTATGTCTTTGAATGACTATCAGCGCATGGTAGGACCATTAGTTATATTGGTGTCAGGTATAGAGTAGATTAGATAATAAAACCGTTAGCGCTCATCAGTTCTTATGTCTGGTATGTAAGATTTGCGTATCAAACCACTTTCGACAACAACGTTCTCTATTTGACAGATGACTAGTTTGGAAGAAGCTAGAAGTCAATAGACCAGAATATCAGTCCATGAAGTTACTAAATATCTATTTATAGTAAACGCCTTCCCCATTTTTGTTCTTAGGAAAATTGGAATCTTTATCTTTAGATGTTGAATAATGTAAGGCAAATGGATTCACTCAATATTTCTATTTTATTTCGCTTCTCCGAGATTAGCAATATATCATTCTATTCATTTGTTCCTCTCTGAAATACATTCTAGTTTCTCACAGCATGATTTTTTTTCGTTTGAGTTGTTATACATGTGATAAAGATTCCACTGTTTATCAACCACTTATCGAAATTACTTCATGTTTTCTAGTACTATGCATTTTTATGCTTATACAGTTCCGTTGATTAATCTGTAATTTTTGTCTTAAGATTTCGGTGTTGAGCACAGAAGATTCTAGCCTAATCTTGACACATTCAACTGAACTCCTTCCTTTCAAGCATCCATTCGTGAGTAAAATCCAAACGCATATTGGGAATGGTTGAGATTAACGATGGTCGCCATTTTAAAAATCCCTTCCAGGATTATACCGCCGGAGACCAGCTTAAAGTACTTTCAGTATTTATTTGTGCACCACGTTCCAGGTGGAGAATACGAGCATCCCGAACAAAATTGTCGAACTGTTAAATGTTCTGAATTCGAATTTCGAGAAGCTATCGTCGTCTGACGTATCAATGTATACGGGGTTGTCAGGTGAGTGTCGTGTGTTTTATTCATCCTCAGTCAGTGAACCAGTCATATGCAACGTCGAAGTTGACACATATGTGGATCGGTTTAAGCCGAAACACTATCAGAACAGTGGAAAGAAACTGTCAGCACATGTCTCAGAAAGGTAGATATAGTAACGGTATTAATGGTAATGTGAGAGATTAGGCATACATAACACAATCTGAGAAAATATGAATTTGTGGGATGAAAATATGTGAAATAGTTTAGAGATTTCAGATGTAAAGGGATGCACCTGTGCCATTGAGAACGTTTTTGAGCGACGTCACCCAATGTCTAACATTTGGTCACGACAATCACGCGGTCTCAACCAGACATTCTGAACTTAGTTACATGGCCCATTGGAGTGTTTTAATGTATCTGAAATAAGCCATAGTTTCAGGCTAAATGAAATGATTAACCACAAATGTTAAGCCTTTCATGCATGTATAGTGGATCTTATGTTTTCCTTTGTTTGTGCCTGCGGGTGTTGTATTTTGTAAAACACCAGGTGTGACCCACATTGTCACATAAGTATGTACGTGGTACCACTACATCTATTCTAATTTATCAATCTTTGAAAGTCGAGTGACTGACTATGGCTAATTAGACCAAGTGTTGAGTTATATACCACATATCTAGTCATGTCCTTCGAATAAGTTTATCAGAATATATCCTTCAATTCGAAGCAAGAAGCTGTAATCAGATTGTCGGAAAACTGCATCTCTGTTTATATTCTTTACTACTAGTGATAAGCCCCACTTAGTATGAAAGGAATAATGTATGAACCACTTAGTCGACCAGTGGTATTTGTCACTGATCGTTGTTGGTGTAGGTGAACTAACGATATTCAGTAGTAAAACCTTTCATTGAATGTTGACAGCATTGTATCCCATGCTGGTCATAATCCATTGTTCTGATGGAGATAACAATTTATCGGGACCCTCCAAACCCACAAACAGACGTTGTCTAGTCATTGAGCCGTAAGAAATGTAAGCGTGCACTGTAGAATTTGTGAATAGTATGCAAATCACTCGATGAACTTGTGTGTCTTTCCATTTGTCTTGTAGGTGTTGGATTATTCTACAATTTCCTATCACAATGCAAATGTGAATTATTAGACAGAAAGATACGTGAAAATGGTGTTGCATGTGCTGATAAGTTGCTAAATCGATGTCTACGTCATATTGAATTGAAGAAGCTGTCTAGAAACATCAGTGTTTACACCAGCCCGATCGGTCCACTGTGTTTAGGCGCTCTATCATCGGTCAAACATGGAAGTGAGAATACAGAGGCGAAGAAATTCGTAGAAGAAATTTTGTCGGCGAGTAAATATGGCATAGATGTGGACAGTGGGATGCCTGATGAAGCGTTGTATGGGCGTACTGGCTATCTAAATTGTCTGGTAACACTTCGAGAGAATAATTTCGACATTCCTATTTCTGTTGTCTCGTCGGTATGTGTTTGTGTATTTGTTGCTGCTCTGAAAGTGTTTATTAATAAATTGTTTGTGCTTGATTGTGCAGAAGAGTGAATGAAAAGGTTTATTGCTTCACAGTTGTTCTAGATAATTTATGAAACTGGTTCAATCGAATAAGATTTACAATATGTTTGTGGTTGATATTATGAAGGTGTTGTCCGTGACGATGCTTTGGAAGTTTTAATTCTGTGATGTGGACACACACCTCTCAACTATTCTTTCCAAGGCCCACATCGGAATTCTTGTTTTTGAAGACATTTAATGAAACCTGAATGACACATAACAACCAAATGTTTTGATGTGCATTGTAGTGTTATACCCTTGTCACATGTTTACATATGTAAATGATAGGTAGTAAGAAATTAGATAATTTATATAGAATTGTCATAATTCTACAACTTATATTGATGTAAGAAACTGGTTGTAGCAAATAATGGCATAAATTGTCAATGTGATAATGTAGAAGGCGATCAATTTTGTGGACTTTTGTTCAGAGTTATGTTGAAGTTACAAGCACTCGGAATTTCATGTGATATGAACGAACTTTCGGTCCGTGTTTGGTTGACAATCTGAATCAGAAGTCTTTTTGCTATCACTCTTGTTTACTCCATATTTCTGTGATAACAGCAATGACAATTGATGTCTGTACTTCACATTAGTTTCTCCTTAGTTGTTTGTATCTATGGCAGCACAGTCCAGTTGTTGGTATGCGCGGTGTAAATCTGATTCTCATGACCAATACTAATCGTTGTAGAACAATCAACCGTTTTACGTTCCATGAAAATGTTCAAGTGACTGATCCTTTAACCTAGGTCCAGTGTTTCCTGTTGACTAACTCCAACTACCATTTTATCTCAATATAGTGCACGCAATGTCGAGTCACCTAGACTGGTGGCCACATTGCAACTTAATCGATAGGACTCGGTCTGCACTAAGAAGGACGTGACATACATGCCATTGATCACCACCCAGTGATCAGTCAATTGTAAACTGTAACGTTTTGTTCATCTTTTCAAGAAGTATTTCCTGTGATTGTTTGTGCATGGGGTTACGGCATTTCGCTGTTTGATTTATGAATTTGTGTTTTTATTTCGTAATATGAAAGTAGTAATACTAATTATGGCATTTTGAATTCAGATAACAGATGCTATATTGAAGTCTGGTCAGAAAACGGCTGGTGCTTACAAATCGAATGGTTTTTATGATAGATTAATGTATCAGTCATCGAAACGAGATTTGCGCATGCCACCGTTAATGTTTGAATGGCATGATAAATGTTATCTTGGGGCTGCGCATGGTTTTGCTGGTATTTTGACTACTCTACTGAAGGTGAGTTATTTGAACATCATTCTATTTTTTGGTTGGTTTCTAATACAAATCATTGAATAACTGAGCTGCTAGTGAAAAGAATAATAATGAACGTGAGTAAAATAAGCTTCAAAAGTGAACTGACTAACAGTAACCCATAGAATTTGATTTTGTGGAAAAAATGATGTTTGAGTACCTCATCTTCTTTTGGATTTATGTATAATTATTTTATTATTTATTTAAACACATAAATATTGGTGCAATGGGGCACCAGATATATATATATATATATATATACGCTACACAAAACAATGAAAATGGGAAGAGAAAGGGGTAAGATGCATATAAAAAAGTAATGGTGAGAGGAACTGAAATGTATAACCAGAAGAACTCTCTCAATGAAGGAGGTTATGACCACTCTCTATGCAGAAAGTAAAAGAAGGTTACAGCAGGATCGCCATTGACTTCTGTTCTGAGCCATATCTGATAACGTCTCTAGCCACCGTGTAGCACCATCTCTTGGACCCCCAGCCAGGGAGTCGTGAAGGACCATGTATAATAAAATTTATCCACTCCGTTATTATCATCTAAATCTTAAGTTGCTGTGTTTAGTAACGTGTTTACAGCTGATTCTCGTTAATATTTCATTTTTATAAGCTTTCGAATTTCGATACTAATCGCTCTATCAACTTTTCTTCTGTTCCTAGAAAGGCAAATTATTTCCGTAGTCTCAACTTAAATCGTTTCAGTAACGCTTACACTCCTCTATCTTGTTGTAAATCATATATATGTAATTTACTCAGTATTAAGATGAAATTTGAGATGATGGAGAAAATTTGTAGCTCAGGTGGTTGATTTTGATGGAGTTTTGTTCTCTGAGCTGGATGGTTTGGTCGTGGAGCTTTCATCGTCATCATCATCATCACTTCACTTCTACCCGAAGTTTGCACTGATGATGTCTTTTAGAAAGACGACGAAAGCTTCACGACCAAACCATCCAGCTCAGAGAACAAAACTCCATCAAAATTAAGATGAATAGATATTTTTCAAAAAACAATCACTTCTTTCATAAATCAGGTGGATTAACCTTCAAACCTTTATAATTCTTGATTATTGAGTCATTCTGAGGCTCGCATTACTCTGAGTTCATTTGTCCACCTTTACTCACCCTTCTTTCTTTATCACTTTCACTACCGATAATTTAATTTATTACGAATGAAACTTTAGTCGATATTTAGAGAAATTTCGCTAATTAGAATCTCGGTTATAAATTCTCTACTCTGTGCATACTATTTCGTTTATAAGCCAGCATTGATTAATGATACTCTTTGACTGACAAGAGTTGAAGTCGAAGCAGTCTTAACTCCTACAAATCTTCTGATACGTACCTTTTCCATCATCAATCTTGAGTCTGAATGAGAGAAAATAACAAACAAGCCTAAGACGCTAGCTTATAAATAAAATAGTATGCGTGGAGTAGAGAATTTGTAACTGGGATTCTGACTAGCAAAACTTCTAATTACCTATTAAAAAGTCTTAATCAATTTTGTACCTGGCAATAGTGTGTCGTTTCGGTTTAGGATGTCAGCATATTGCGAGTGAGATGTAAAATGGAGGATCAAACATTAATTGCGATGAGACTTTGGGCGTGAGAAATGTATTTGTATGGATGTGTGTTCATCTGTCAAATAATTTTCAAGATTGAAGTCAATCCTTCTTTGTTGAAATATATCCATACTGTTTTGAATAGTTGATAATGCCCGTTTGATTACAAGGTTCAAATGTATTTGGATTATTCCTAACAGTAGAATTCGGTAGGCTCGTTTTTATCCTATTGGGGACTCATCAGCCGGATTTACTTGCATCTTAGCTGATAGGTCCCAAATAGGATAAAATGGGAATACTTTACTCCACTGCTAGCCGCAATCCAAATAGAAATACAGTTACAAACTTAATATTTATAGGAATATAAAGAATAAATGCAACTGCACCGCTGACATCGGTTTTCTCTTTTTTTCGCCTTACGTCTGTAACCATAGTTTACAACTATTATATGGATTGTAAACAAAACTCTACACCTTTCCTACATAGCTCAAACCAATAGTTTCAGTACAACTCACTTATCACATACGTCACTGAAGTCATTTTTTAGCCTCACTTATTATTTGAGTGTTATTGATACTACTAAGCTAAAATAATCGAAGTTGATGAAATGCTAATTTGAACCTACAGCCCCTAAATGCCCTGGAACGGCCAAGAGTGGGAAGAGTACACTCTCCCTCTCGAAATGCTCTCACATGACCACGCGTATATAGCCTCTGGCACGGAAGTCCTACTCACTGCCTTCTCGTGGCGGGGGTGTTGTTCACGAAAGTGAGAGGACGAAAAGCGAATGTCCGGCGCTTTAACCGGGTTGGTGGACACGGAGAGTCCACCTAGAGGAGTTGAAGAACCCTGATTCCAAACCAATGGTGCACATGGGCTCCGGTATCCTGAAGGAACGGATGGCGTGTGAACCCACTGTTGGTCACCGGCTACCATGGGACTGCATCACTTACGATGCTCCACTGCCTTGTGGATCAGATCTTTCGGTCAAAGGCTCCGTGTGTGGCGCCCTAAGAAAACCACCTGCTTCGGTTTGGGCGCCTGGTCAATATCACAGCCCTCACACAAATGAAATGAGATTTGTGCGGCGCATATGTATCTGGTGCCTTACTGTACAAATATTTATGTGTTTTAATAAATAAAATAAATGAAAGTTGATTGTCTTAAATACTAATCGAGCACCCGATGACGTAGTGATATAAATTAAGTCAGCTTGAAGGGCTGTATATATATTTTTTACTTTGTACGGTGTTTATATCTATCACGTTCTTTATATTCTTCGTTAAGAAAGTGGGAAACTTACCACTGTTAAACAATACTGGTTATATGTTTTACTAACATGTTATTTACTAATTTAATAGGTGATCTGATCGTTTAGCTTGAAAAGGAGTATAATAATTAGAAACTTGATATATTGTTAGTTGATTATATAACTTACTAACTGAAGCAATAATAGAACGTTGTTCTGGAGTATCTTCCAAATAGTAAAAAGACTTCAGTCATCTAATTGTTTAAAATTCACTTAATATTGTTTGTTTGAATCTTCCCATCGATGTGTTAGGACTGCAGCTGTTCAGTCTCTAATTGGCATATATGCATACTGTGCGTATTACCTCGATATAGCCTAAATTCACAAGCATGGTAAGCAGTTACAGTCCTAAAAACATCAATGGGAAGATCCAAACAAACAATATTATGTAAATTTCAACTTCATCCCATTGCACAAGCAAGTGGCTATCAGGACTCAGTGGCCAAGTGGATAACGCAATGGCGTTTGAATCAGAAGGTACTGGGTTCGAGTCCCAGAGTGAACATCAACTCTGAGATGAAGGTACATCCAGCTGACGAGTCCCAAATAAGACGAAACGCGCATCAAGCTGTATTCAACTGCTAGCCACTATACATTTTTGCTTACCATCTAATTGTTTAGTCTAGTTAATTGTTATTCACTATTTGTATACAAATAGTCACAAAGATATAACTTTTCCGGTGCTTTTCGATTTACATTTCTACTATGTCGTCTATTGTGTTTATATTCAACTGTTTAATGGTTTTGTAGATTTCAAGTTAGGCAACCAGCTAACGTCAATAGCCTTTACATTTTCGGGTATGACTCAAGGCCAAATACACGTATCTGTACTTGGTCAACAAGTTGAACATTGTCAAAACCTATCATGTTTACTAAGAGAATAGGGTAGAAAGAATATCCTCTTTTAAATTCCTTCGAATTAACCTAGAGAATGATGACACTTTGATCCTTGTAATGAATTAATCTAGTTAGATCATTTTTCATCATGCTTTTCTTTAAAGGTATATCGTTTGTTTCCTGGTAGCATATCGTCACATTCCTTAAATCAGTTAATTCTACCTACTGTTGATTGGATGAGTCAACTTCAGCTAAACAGCGGAAATTGGCCTTCTAGTTTAGGGGATAGCTTAAATCGTGATGTATTAGTTCATTGGTGTCATGGTGCAACGGGTGTTATCCCACTTATGCTTTCAGCTCATAAGGTAGGTTAGTAATATTATTTTAGAAAATGATTTAATTATTTTGTAGTTCACTTCACAGGACAACTATTTAAAACCAAGAAGCATTGGTTAGCTATCTCGTCTCAGTAGGGAACCCCTCAGCGGTACACATCGACGATTCCACTGTAAATCAAATTCAGAGTAAATGCTATACATTATTAGAATGTATTTAAAATCATTATACTCCACGTATTCTATTTTAATATAGGCGTAGACGCGTCAGTCAAATACCTATGTGAATATATTCACCGAAATTATCCCACTATTTCATGAATTAGATTCCTAGTTCAAGTGAATGATTGGTTGTCTGAAAAAAACTAATTATTTCAGTCAGCTTGCAGTATGTGTGTTCTGTGCCTTCTATATAAAATAAATCTGGTACCCCAAATGCGCTGAGGAAGTTTATTTAGTTTTATAACCCAGTTAACTTTAAAACGTATAAAACTATTGAAATTACAACGTCGTTAATTCCTCCAAGTCCAAGTTTTTTAATTCCATTGAGGATTTTCCTCATTGACTCACTCCGCTTGGAGCTTATTCAAGCATTCCAGGTAAAGTTTAGATTTGTAGCATGAAATTAAGTAAATGGGTTATATCATAAACCATCTCTTAGTAGTACATTTTTCGTGGCCACTTGTATGGAGAGGTTTACTTGAATCAAATTGTTTGACTTAACAGATTAATGGGTTTCCTCATGATACGTCTTGTCGATTGAACGCTATATTCGGATCCTAAGCTAGTTTCGTAACCCCCCAAGCTAGAACTATACAGCGAATTGAAGACGAGAGAAAAGGCACAAAATATGTGGGAAGCACTTTACTCCAAGGGTTCGTTTATGTACAGAAAATATACAGTTTTTATAGTATTTTAGAAGTCTTTGCGTTGTGCTGAAAATTCTAGAATACTACTAAACATAGTAGCAGTGTAGTTATCAGCCAATCAGAATCTCTACATGTGACTTTTCATTTTCGCTATTTTAGTAACATAACTTCTAATCAATCGCTGATTAGATAAAATGCTCCTTGATGTTTCATTAGCTTGTCATGTCGATTGCGAGAAAATTTCAGGGTCATCCCAATACCTCAGGAGACTCATGATATAATGAGAATAGAGGATGCTTAAATTATATTGAAGGTCTTGTGTAGTTGTATTAGTTTAGTCCGAGTATTGATTAATTCGTATATACTGTCTATCTAGTACCAGTGACAGTTCTGAGAGTCCAACTTTACTTAATATTTACCTAGTCGAAGTACTCTATACAAAAGAAGATATACGTTAGTTTGCATAAAATTTGTACTTCCATATTTATGGCACTTGACACTTGAAATAAGAAAGGTAACCATTTCACTCACATAATTCAGTTAGTGTAACCGATAAATGTATTCAACTTTTAAATCATAAGTTTGACAATCAATGTGTAAGACTTTTCAGCTGATACACATAATTTGATTGAAAAAAAAGAGTCAGCTACAACGTAGGACCAGGCACATATATACATCGGTCCAAGTTGCTACACCTCATTAGCACAACAAGATGAACACCAAATTCATAAAAGTAATTACTTCAGTGGTAGTAATATGTAAAAGTAACATTGTGTATAAGGATATAATACAGGAAAAAAGAATTGGTTCTTAGAAAGAAAGGTATAGAGTGATTTCAATCTTGGCTTAAGGGTAGGCAAAGAGTGTATACACCGATGCCGTTATGATCAATTATGAGCCATGTCATCCAGAGTCTTCAACCATTGATTATGATAGTCACGCGGACTTCAACTAAATAGTCTGCGTCTACCAACATGACTCACACTAGAAGCTAGTAACTTAAAGTACTAATACCGTCCATAACTTTCTTCTAACCGTCTCCAAGACTAGTCAGCACCTGCGCGTCGCGATAATCGGTGTTCATCCTAGAGTCAGTTCAAGACAAATATCTTTTCGGGAAAACTAAATAAAATGGTAATACGTGAAAACACAAGGATTTATTTAAAAATGAGTACGAGATCTTAGATTTTCAAATATGTAACTATTATTTTGGAAAAGTACGAAAATCTGATTCGCAATGTGTAATGTACATAAACTCAACAAGATAACTAGGATATAAACTGAATCTAATCATCGAGATGCATGTGCTGACGTTTCTTATTCGCCTCCTAACTAAGTAATTGCTTAAGAAACCCATTCATCTTGAACTGTACAACCGGGTAGTATTGCATCTTACATAACATGTTGGATTTTTCGGGAATACTCTTATTACACATAATAAATCCCAATGCCATGAAAACCTGTATGTACTGTCTTGTGACAAAAGGTTTTGTGGAAACGTTGTTAGACAAAAGTCTTCTGAGCAATTCTATGAGAACAAACAGTTCGTATGCAATCTGTAATAGGAATATTATCAGCCACCAGTGAGTCTATGAAGTGGCAAAATAAGAATTTTAAACTAACGAAAACTCACTTGGTATTGTTTGTTTGTATCTTCCCATCGATTTTGTTAGGACTGCAACTGGTCAGTCTCTAATTGGCATATGTGCATATATGCATACTGAAACGTGCGTCCTGGATTCCACTGCTAGCCACTATCCATCTCTGCTAACCATGCTAATGAAAACTGATTTATAATATTCTCCTTTTATTTGGATGGATATGTATGACTTTCAAATTTCACCGGTAGCTTGTTTACTGTTATTTAACCTCTGTGTTGTTACATTCTGTAGATTACAGGTGAAAATAAATATTTAAAGTGTGCATTAGACGGAGGAGAAGCTGTATGGACTCGTGGTCTACTTCACAAAGGCTGTGGTTTATGTCATGGTTCAGCTGGTAGTGGTTTCGCTCTATTAGAGATTTATCAAACAACTCAAGATCCCAAATATTTGTATAGAGCTATAAAGGTTAGTGGTGGTAGTTCAATGCATTTGAAGTATATGTATCTTGTCTTTTGTTTTGTGAACATGTGTGCATTACACAGTTTACAATGTGCTGTTTTATTTGTTCTGTATATTGTGTCTAGTTCGAAGTACAACATTGTAGTGTTTCACTTGAAATGCTCATGTTTCTGCACACTATTACTTGTTTTTTGAGTAGATGATGTCTGAATTCACTTATCTTTACAGTAGTTTGTAATGAAACTATTAGTTGGTCAGGTAATGGTGTATTTGCACGTTACTCCATAATTATCATAGTGTGATATTCTATAGTGTGAATGAGTGAATGTATTTCGCTATGTAATTTGTCCGTAGATGATTTATGCTTTGATTTGTTGAGTCATGGATTGGAACCCCATCGAACTGTTCTAAGTTTATGTAGAACCGTATTACAGTCATCACACGTGTGTATTATTGATGTAGTTTGTGGCTAAACATACCTGTGGTCACTGTGTTTTTCAATCATTAGATAGATGCAAGGTTGCATATAGTGTTGAATTGTATGGAAAAAGCGGTTCCCCAATGTACAGCTTTTAATTTGTGTTCAAATAAGATGAGTTCCTTGCTTAGATTTCTTGTTTACCGTTTTCAAGGTTCTCATTTCCCCATTGCATGAAATCTTCTCTGTCTTCACCATCTGTGAAGATTTATGCGGCTTCTAGCATAGTCAACGAGACAATTAAAATTAAATAAACTGATGATTGTTCAATGTTTTACATTTGTTTTCCAGTTCGCTGAATGGTGCACCGAGTATTCTAAAAATGCTACTCGCATTGCTGATCGTCCGTACTCACTTATGGAAGGTTTGTTTAGTGTGTCTTCTCATTTGTCACTAAGATTAATCCCTCCTGTTGCTAATATAATTTCACACTAATATTACACGTTAGTCTTCATTTGAATGGTCCCCATCAGGAGTTTGTGGAAGAAACTAACTTCACATTGATTTGCCTACTTGTGAGTGATATTGCGATAGACAGTTCACATCTTACCATTGATTAATCGATAGTGTCTCGTATCCAGTTGTTAAAATGATGATAGTCTACTGATCGAAATGTGAATGGTCAATTGATTTTCGATGTGCGGATAGGTGATATATGCGAACATGTGGAGGGTGTGAACACAGGATAAATGTATGGGAATAGGCCTAGAATTATGTTGAGTTTTGCAGTTGTTATCAATTAGTAGTGTACTGTTAAATTGAAACTACTCACTTCTCTGATTTTTTTGGGGTGTTCAGTTGAAATTATTGAATAGGGAACTACTTGCACTTTCCATCTCCTTAGGTAATGTTTTGTAGTGTGTAATCAAGTATCACTGTTTCATCCATACCGTCTGAATTTGTCATGGAGGAGGCTTTTAGTGATTTGATTGGATCAGATTTTCGACTGTTGAATCAATGAATAAACTGCTAATGGACGGATAGGCACAATGATGGCAAGCGTGACCGAGTGGTTTACTAATATGACTTTATTACCAGCGGAAGCCTTCAAGTGATTATAAATGAGAGAAGACGATTAGTCAGATAAATATCTTCCATATGTGATAAGATAAGATAATTATGTAGAGTCTATGAGCACATAATAAACACGACAAACTGTCCCAACCAATTGGAGTTGTTTAACATGTAGGACATCGATTCCGCAATCAATTAAGGTCTAACTGTTAGATCTAGTCTCTGTGCATTGTAGGAGAAGTGTAGATGTATGGATGGATTGTAAAATGTCATGCGTTAACAGTGAAGTCGTGTGTAAGACAGGTGTCCACCACAGGCAATGAATGAAGGTTGTGCGACATTGTGAATTGGTTGGAGTTAATCATTCACACCGTTGGATGACGACTGGCTTCGATTTTCTTGTTTGGAGTCGTGGATGTGCATTTGTGAGGAGTAGTCCCTAAGTACAGTGAACACTAGATGCCTGCCATCGTCACAGTGTATTCTCCTCCTTCCCTTGTTATGAATACTATTCTATCGTAGAACAATAAACTATTTTATCTTTTCATTTCAAGTTTGTTATGTAGAAAGTTGACTATTATTTATCGACTTTATTGAATTGTGTTTACTATTTTGAGATGATAGTTAGTTCATTGTAACAGTTTGTTTTTTTTTTTGTGTTCATAATATGTGTTTAGGTCTTGCTGGGACATTGTACTTCCTTGTTGGTATTTTGGATCCAGTTCATGCGAAGTTTCCTCTACTAAGTGGATTGTGAATAGAAAGGAACCATAATTGTATTTATTATTTATTCAACTAACTTTATCTAATTATTTTGTACTGACATATCCTATCTTGGATAAACTATCATACTGAAAAAAAAACGACTATATTGCATAATCATCACATTGAATTTTTAAGAGAAACCAGAAGTAATATTGAATATAAACTACAGTGAATAAAAGAATGTATTTTTTTTTATCCCATCATATCACCTTCACTTTCTTTTGTAATGGAATGCGTTAGGAACAAGTTTTCTATAGAGAGTTCATTTGAAAGATTGTTTTTCTTCTTCCTCTTCTTCGTACTTGCAGGGACCTTGGTTAATCATGTGGTTATGTTCCATTTGGTTTTTCATCTTCATTTGAAAAATAAACAAGTTAAATAGAATTAATAATAATATTCAACAACCGTTTTAATTCATAATGATGATTATACAGTATAGTAGTTGCTTTGTTTTTCAGTATGATATTTTATTTTGTATAACAATAATTTTACTCCCAAATGCCATGGTACGGCTGAGAGTGGGGAGAGTTCTCTCTCCCTCTCGAAATGCTCTCATATGGCCACGCGTATATAGCCTCTGTCACCGAAATCCCACTCACTGCCTTCTCGCACCACGGGTGTTGTTTACGAAATTGAGAGGACGAACAGCGAATGTCTGGCGCTTCAACCGGGTTGGTGAACCTTCTGTGTCCACCTAGGGGAGTTGGAAAACCCTGATTCCAAACCAGTGATGCACATGGGCTAGCTCCAGCATCCTGAGGAAAAAAATGGCATATTAATCAAGCGTTGGTCACCGGCTACTATGTGACTGCATCTTTTCACGATGCTCCACTGCCTTGTGAATCATATCTTTCGGTCAAAGGCTGCGGGTGTGGCCTCCTAAGAAAACTATCTGCTCCGGTTAGGACAGCCGGGCAGTATCACAGCCCTCACACAAATCAAATGAGATTTGTGCGGCGCATATACATCTGGTGTCTCTTTATACCAATATTTATGTGTTCAAATAAATAAATAACAATAATTTTTTTGAATGTGACGTTTATCCAAGATATAATATACTTGTATTAAATTAACTATGCTCTGCATAACATGCAGAATGTGATTTGTTATAACTCTGGGCATCTTTCATATGTGTGATTTCATCTTTATTATTAATCAAAATATGTATATATATGGTCAATATATAAATGAGTGTATTTTCGACTAGGGTTGTCGTCGTACTTAAAGCGCTAATAAATCTTCACATGTACCAGTCTTGATTTTTTTTTACCTCGCGTCGTGGGAAGTGCAGTGGTTCCTCGTTTTACAAGTATAAGTAATTAGCGATTCCGAAGTAACAATCGACAA